CTGAAATTGAAGGATGTGATCTCACCGCCAATGCGAGCGGTTCCATTGCTAAAACAAAAAGCATTGGTGAGAGGGGGCACCCCTGACGAGTACCTCTTGTGAGTTTGAAAGGAGATGAAATTATATAGTTGGTGGAGACCTCTGCCATTGGGTCAGTATAGAGTGTCTCAATCCATTTTCGAAAGTAGTTGCCAAAGCCGAAACGAGATAACACATCAAATAAATAACTCCACTCCACTCTGTCAAATGCTTTTTCAGCATCTAAGGACAGAATAGCAGCATCAGAGGTCCCCTCCTTCGCATGTATCACATTCAACACCCTTCTTACATTATGAAAAGCTTGACCGTTTTTCACAAAACCATTCTGATCTGGATTGATAACTGTCGGGAGCACCGGTTCCAGTCTTCTAGCCATTACTTTAGCGATAATCTTAGCATCTGTGTTGAGCAGTGAAATAGGTCTATATGACGTGCAGTTGGTAGGGGATTTATTGGGTTTCAAAATAAGTGTTATCAGCGCACTCCTCATGGAATCTGGAAGACAACCCTGTTAAAGGGCTTCGTCATACATATCTAAAAGTGGTGTAATTAATTTATCTTTAAATATCTTGTAGATATCAACCGGAAGACCGTCAGGGCCTGCGGCTTTACCTCCTTTCATATTAGTAATGGCGTCAGCGATTTCTGAAGCATTCAGTTCCTTATCTAATTGTTCTTTAAAATCTGCTGATATGGAAGGGATATGAAGATCATCCAGAAACTCAGATTGTATTTCCAGACTCCCCGAGGATTCGGATGAATATAATATTTTATAATAGGTAGAAAAGGTATCATTAATTTCCTGTGGGTCTGTTGTTATTGCTCCATTCTGAGTTTGAATTACAGTAATTGCCCTGTCCGCATCTAATTTTTTTATTCGCCAGGCTAGCAATCTCCCCGGTTTTTCACCTTGATCATAATAACTCTGTTTGAGCCGGATTAAACTATTTTCTGCTTTCGATGTGGAAAGTTCCTCATATTGGGTTTTAAGTAACTTTAATTCTTGTTTTATTTTTGCAGAGCCATCTAAAAAGGCCTCTCTTTCCAATTGTCTAATTCTATGATCGAGCTCATTCATTTTCAACTTGAGTTTGTTTGTTTTTGAACTGGTGTAAGATATAATCATGCCTCTGATGTACGCCTTAAAAGCCTCCCATCTGACAATAGCAGACGTCTCATCTGTATTTGTATTGAAGTATGACTCAATTTGAAAATCTAAAAATTGCAGGAAATTCGAATCAGTAAGCCATCTGGGATGAAATCTCCATCTAGGGCTCCCTTTAACTAACCCTTGAGCTCTAAACACCAGTGAAGTAGGGGAATGATCTGATAGAAGTATGCTGTTATAGTTACATTCTATCACAGAGGAGAGTATAGAGCTGGAAATCAGGAAAAAATCTATTCGTGAGTATGACTTAAATCGGGGAGAGTAACAGGAAAATTCTAATTTGTCTGGGTTCAGACTCCTCCAGGGGTCGCATAAATTCAGATCATTTATATACTGTAACAGTTTTTTCCTACTTTGCATATGAGAGGAATCCATCCCAGTTGACCGATCCAATTTAGGGTCTAAAGTACAGTTGAAATCACCTGCTATTAGAGCTTTCCCTGGGAGAGAAGCAATTAATAAAAATAAATGTTCAAAGAATTTGGGATCATCTTCGTTTGGGGCATATAAATTAATCATGTTTATCTTCTCATTTATCAATGTGCCTTGGACAATCAGGTATCTACCCCCTATGTCACGAATGACGTTGTCCACTTTAAAGGGTATCGATTTATGAATCAGGATCATCACCCCTCGAGTGTGTGATAAGTAGGAGGCTGATATTACTTGCCCTGGCCATCTCCTTTTTATCCTTATCACTTCATTCGATAATAAGTGGGTTTCTTGGAGATATACAACTAGCGATTTGAGTTGTTTAACCCTACTGATGATTTGCTTCATTTTAGCCAACTTCACCATTCCTCTAACATTCCAGGATGTAAGCTTCAAATTTAGATTAGAAGACATAAAATAAAATCAAGCGTAAACATTTTCAATCAGGCCATATATATAGTAGGAAAGAATGATATAAGCTGAAATCTCGTTCTTAAAACAATTGTAGTGTATGTCGTTATCCCGAATTACAAAATAAAATGTACATTTAAAACCCCTAAACTTAATCCCAGCACTGTCTCCCCAAACGAGACGGCTTACCTTCCCTGGTAACATTAGGAGCGAGCTAAACGCTCAACTGATCCACTAATAACGAGGAGCAGTTATAAACTGATAAATCACACACCTACCCCTCCCCCCACATTCACAATCGGCTTGCTATAATAAGCGAACAAAATATACATGTAAGTTATGCATCTGTCTTCGTGGGATTAAAACCACGTCAGCGTATAGTATCAATCAGGCGTTGCCTGGCAACGCAACATTACAGTACCTTTTTTTAGTAGGTGGAAAAAAGAAAAAAAAAGAAAAAAGTTCACGTTATGATTATATCGTCTGCTGCCGTTGATAAGATCCATCTCTGAAAAACGTCCTCACCATGTAAAGCTAACTTAATACCTTTAGTTAGCCATGGCCAACGGTGTCCAGCTCTTTAATAAACGACTCCACATCTGCAGGATCAGCGAACACGCGAGGTTTCCCTCCGTGGAACAGGTTGAGTTTAGCAGGGTAAATGGTACTGCAGTCTATCTTCAGGACCCGTAGTCGTTGTTTCACATCATCGAATCGCTTTCTTTTCTTGTGCAGTTCAGTAGAGATGTCTTGGAAAAGCATGACATGGTGGCCTTCATACATGATCTTGCCCTTCTTTCTGGCTGCCTGCATGACTCGGATCTTGTCACGGAAGTTTAAAAACTTCAGTATCATGACTCGCGGAGCAGAGGATTGTGGCGCGCCTGGTAGTCTATGAGCTCTTTCGATAATCAGTGGGTCAGGAAAAGTCTCGGGTCCCAGGGCATCAGGTAGCCATTTTTCCAGAAAAGCAGCTGCATCGCCTTTTTCAACTTTCTCCGGGAGATTCACCAGTCTGAGATTTGAGCGACGGCTCCTGTTTTCCAGGTCATCTACCTTAGAGGTGAGCTCAGACACTTGTTTCTCCAGGATGGTGATTCTGGTTTTATCATTAGAGATATCATCCTCCATGTCACCAATACGATTTTCTGCTTGTTCTAGTCTCCCTGAAAAGTCTTTAAAGTCTGACTTAATCTCGTTGATTGCTGTCAAAACTCCGTCAAACTTGGAACTGAAGTCATTTTTCAGGGCTGAAATAGCCTCTAAAATCCCTGCTGTTCCGGGAGAGTGTGCATCAGTGGTTAGCATGCTAGCATCTTCCTCTGCTTCTTCGTGCCTGTCGGTCTTGTTCTGAGCTTTTTTGTGATGGCCCGAGTTGGTTTTAGATTGTTTGGTCGACATGTCTTAGATTACAGATGCACTAAACTTCAGTTTTGTGAAGGATTACGTTCGCTTTTAATTCAGGATGAGTAAATTTAGCCGATTCCTACGGAGGGATCGAAAATGCGACCTCTCAGCTTCGCGTCATAGCCGCGCCTCGGTGTGTGGATTTGTTCAGGGTGGGACTCTTGTCAAAAGTGTAAAATTTCGTGCAGATCTGGGCATTTACAGCCAAGTTACTACAACTTCCTGTTTCATGGCGAATCATCGACGCCACGGACTACGGCCATCGACGAAAACGATAGAGAGATAGCACGTAACGGAGATAGCACAACTTTACATCGTCAATGCCTTTAGAAGGCACAGCAGAAATTTGAAGTTGATCCGATTAAATCCCTAGGAGGAGTTTGTTAAAGTACGGAGCGTGTAAATCGTCCCGAATCGGTCGCCAAATTCAAAATGGCGGACTTCCTGTCGAGTTTAGGGTATGGGTTCTTGAGGCTCTTTTGTGCGTCTTGAAATGATACACATCTCCACCAAATTTCGTGCATGTAGGTTGAACGTGGACGAGGGGCTAATTTTTTCCAATTTTCTAGGTGGCGCTAGCGAGCCATTTTGCCCCGCCCATCCGCGAAACCCACAAAGTACGAAATTTATCACCAGTCCTGACATGCGTGCCAAATTTGGTGAGTTTTTGAGCATGTTGCGGCCCCGAAAATGGCGCTTAATTTGCAGAAAAAAGAAAAAAAAATTACAGCTGCAAGCAGCGATGGGCGGGCCCTCGCACCTGTACCGCGTTGGAGTCTGAGGCGGCCGCGTTGCATATTCTGCAGCTCAGCCAGTGCGGCTGTGCATTTGCTACGCTGCTTCGTTAAAGGTCACTTCCTGTTGCCAGCAGGTGGCGCTATGACTGTGGGTAAATGTCGGCATGTAGATTTGTTCAGGACGGGACTCTTGTCAAATGTGTAAAATTTCGTGCAGATCTGGGCATTTACAGCCAAGTTACTACAACTTCCTGTTTCATGGCGAATCATCGACGCCACAGACACGGCCATCGACGAAAACGCGCAGATAGCACAACTTTACATCGTCAATACCTTTAGAAGGCACAGCAGAAATTTGAAGTCGATACGACAAAATCCCTAGGAGGAGTTCGTTAAAGTAGGTAATGAGTAAATCGTCAAAAAATGGCGGTAAAATGATAAATGGCCGACTTCCTGTTGAGTTTAGGATAGTGCAATGTCCAATTTTTATTATTTTTATTTTTTTATTTTATAAAGATCCTTTAAGTGATTTTTTTTTCATAAAAACATATTCTTCATGGGCCAACAATTACTGGTGTAGTAATTGTGCAGTAAATAGGTAAAAAACTACCAAAGACACAGCATAAATGTAGAGCTGATAAGTAATAAAAAAAATATTACATATAGTTTGTCATGTAAAAAAAATGTTTTTTTTTCACTAAAATGTTTTTACTGAATTTACTAAATCTGTTGACTTTAACAAATAATAAAACATAAAACAAAAACACCAACATTTTGCAATGTTAATTTAGACACAATTTTATTTGTCAGTAGGACTTATATGTTGTTTTTCCCATCATATGTTCCTTTGTATTTTGCTCAGGCTTATATAGAATGATATAACATTTAGGTACAAATATGCAGAATAGTAAACCAAAGCTTGAGGCTAAAATAGCAAATATCTCCACAGCTACAGTGAATTTTCCAGGAGAACTGACATAAGCTGGGATAAATGTGATCCATACAGCACAGAATATGAGCATACTGAATGTGATGAATTTGGCTTCATTGAAGTTATCAGGCAGCGTACGAGCCAAATAAGCCAAAATGAAACACAAGAGACCAAGTAGGCCAAAATAACACAGAATAGCCCAGAAACTTATAGTAGAACCCAGATTGCACTCAAGAATGATCTTTTCCTTGTAATGTTTCATATTTTTGTAGGGAAATGGAGGAGATATTGTTAGCCAAAGCACACAGATAAGAACCTGTATAAGTGTAAAGGCAAGAACACTGAGTCGTTGTTGTGAAGGCCCAAACCATTTCATGACATTACTTCCTGGAAGTGTAGCCTTGAAGGCCATTAACACCACTAATGTTTTCCCCAGAACACAGGAGATACAGAGGACAAAAGTAATCCCAAATGCTGTGTGACGCAGCATACATGACCATTCAGTGGGGCGACCAATAAAAGTAAGTGAACAGAGAAAACACAGAGTCAATGAGAAAAGTAGCAGGAAACTAATCTCTGAATTGTTGGCTTTTACTATTGGGGTGTCCTTCTTGCTGTAAAACAGGATGGCCACCAGCACAGTTAATCCTACTCCGAACAGTGAGAAAAAGACTAGAACTATACCCATAACTTCTGTGAACGACAGAAACTCTACAGCCTTTAACACACATTTATTTTTCTCAGCATTAGACCAGTATTCCCCTGGACACTGCTTGCAGTTAATTGAATCTGGAAAGGAAGTTGTGATCACTATAGTTAGGGGAAAATGATTTCTTTGAACTCCTTTTACAATATACTGCATCCTGAACAGCAAAAGAAGAACACAAAACGAGCAACTAAATAGTTTTCTATGAAACTGTGAGATGGGCTGAATACTACCTGTCTCATTACTGATTTCTCCTTCTGCACATGGAATACAGTCATAACAGCAGACAGGTCTCCCTTTCTGTACAGCCTTCCTAGTGCCTGGAGCACAGCTCTCACTGCAGACAGACCTTGGCTTCTACATAGAAAATACATTACATAGTTAACTCTTTACAATAAGGTTTCATTAGTAAACATAAGTTAATGTGTTAATGAACACAAATTAACAATGAACAAAACAGTATTTACAGTATTTCCTAATCTTTGTTAAAAATACAGTCATTCTTTGTTTGTTCATGTTAGATCACAGTGTATTACCTATTTTTAATTGGAAAGATTTTAATAATGTATTAGTAGATGTTGAAATTAACATTCATTTTCATTAATAAATGCTGTAGAATCTTGTTCATATTTCATGTCATCTAAAGTAGTTAACTAACTAACTAGTGAAACTGCATTGTAAAGTGTTACCCATAGTTATTTATACTGACTCTGAAAAAAAAAATACTGAATGTCGATATTATTGAGTACAGGATCTTGCATGGTTAAAGCATAACATGAAGCTAGAATGTTTTTTTTATACTGTTGTGCCCTAAACTTTAAATAGCTGAAGAGCTTGAAGTATCTTTCAAGTAGTATGATAAAGTATCTTTTGTCAACTATTTATTATAAAAGGGACAATTATTTATTTAAAAAAAAAAAAAACAACAACTGATATTACATTTATTGTAATTTAAGCACACCCTGTAGTACAACAAGATTTCCATTTACCTCCAGATGTCCTCCAGCCCAAATAATATTTTTAGTGTTTAGCATAAAGCTCTGGTCAGGGGGCAGTGAGGCATCAAAGTATCCCACTGGTTTAAACTGGAATGATTCATCTAAGTCCTGCTGCCAGTTCACAACTTCATAATGGGCCACTGCACCACCACTGCTTTCAAACCACACATGATCTCCAAACTTTACGGTGAAATTGACTGTTTTTAGAGCTTCAACCACCTATTGAAAAAGACAGTTTTGGTAAATTATTTTTGAGGCATGGGCTATTAACACTTTCTTTTTTTCTTTTTTTCTTTTTTTTACCTGTTTTGGTTGTATTGTCAGACCTTTCACACACCCTTCTTGTTCTTTGCACTTCAATAAACTGTGTAGAGAATAAGCCACCGCATAAACTGCTTTGTAGACATTGCTTGCATATCTTTGTTCAGGCACATCTTCATTGTTTTGTTTTAGTGTAAGTAGATCTTCATATTGCCTGCACCTTAATGGATACTGAGAAGAATTCCCCTCAATCTGTGAGCATGGAAAAGCTGTGTCCCAAAATGCCTTAATAACATAATCTGAAAACTCATCAATTTTGATTTTTCTAAATGCAAACCCCAGTGACCCTCCCATCACGTGAAAACTCTTTGGAGTGATCAAACTCTTTGCAGTTACCCATCCCTCCCCTCCAATCAATTGAAAGCCTGTAATATTCTGAATACTTAGCTGATCAATAAGTAAGCCCATTTCAATAAGTGAAACAAATGCAACAATCACTTTTGCTGTGCTTCTTTTAATTGTGTCGACCGCTTTTCTTAGTTTTTCAGTCTCTGTTCGGTAGAATTTGACAGAGTACTCTACACAAATCCCCTCTTTCTGAGCTGTATTCAGAAATATGGCCATAACATTGTTTCCATAGTCATTGTCACTGTTCACAGCTCCAACCCAAGACCAGCCTAATTGCTTGACTATGTATGCAAGTGCTCTGCCTTGGTGGTAATCACTAGCAATAGTTCTGAAGAATGAGGGGTACTCTTTCCTATTACTGAGACATTCACATGAGGCTGAGGGACTTATCTAGAAAAACAAACAAATAACAAACAAACATTGAAACAGTCATCAGTGTGGTGATTTTGTCAAATGTCTGGTGTCACTGCTCCTTACCACTGGAATTTTAAATGGTCCTGAAGTTCTGGACAGAATCACAGTAGCAGAAGACTCAGTTTCTCCAATGATAGCATGTATAGGAGACTGTCCATTGCATCTATACTCAGCAGAAAACTCTGGCCCATTCATCAGTCCCATAGTTGCACTCATAGCAGACAGTCTTGAACCACACGTATCATAAATCCGATAGCCAATAGAAACATTTGGGAGCAAACTTTCACTTCTGTTAATCTCTTCAATTGCAAAAATCATAATTTGAGCCATCCTGAAATCTCTTAAATTCACACTGTGAAAACATTAAACTACAATGATCAATTAACAATTAATAAAAAAAGTAAAAAATACAATATTCAGCTTAAAAAAACAAATTCAGACACTCATTCAGAACTCATAAAACTCATAAACTTTTAAAAACATTATCTAAAACATAATGCTTCCAATGTAACAAACCTGGAGCATGACAGGAGCTGGGGTTTTTGTGTAAACTGAAATGAAGGAAATGTTTCTTTGCTGTGTATTGCAAAAAGTGCACCAATCGTTATATCTCCATTCTTAGAAAGCAGCGGGGACTTAGGTTGTCCTATCATTCGGCAAAGATTGTTTCCCGCCTTGGTATGAAGTTGATGGAAAACCAGGAATATGTAAAGAAAGAGAAGCATTCTAAACATTGAGCTCAGCTGTGGCTGCCAAATGCAAATTACTTGAGAGTATTTGCACTTTTATAGACATAATTAGTATGGATGAATGATTACGAACGTAGCCATTGACCTCACAGGGTAGGTTATGAGTCACGTCTTGCATGTTGTTTTAGTATTTTTTTATCTATATGCTGTCACACTTGGTTGCTTGAAATTATACTTTTGCATTAGTAAATATTTATGTTACCACAATGAACTTACACTATATATGTGTTTGCAAGTTTTCAAGAAGGCCCTGCAGTTTAAGTATGTTTTTTTTTTATAAAGCAACATAACAGGAAGCACAGATTCATTTTTGTATTAATTCTTTCATTGAAATATGTTTCATTGAAATGTACAAAATGAATAACAAAAATGTACCACACACTAGCAGTATTTGCAAAAGTATCAAAATAACTTTATTCAGTGTTTCAGTCCCATGACCTTCATCAGGCATATTCAAGGTCACAGGACCGAAACATTGAATGAAGCTATTTTCATACTTTTGCAAGTACTGATTGTGTGTGGAACTTTTTTTTGTTCTTCATTCTGTGCATGAGAAACACATCTCAATGAAATAATTAGTTCAAAAATGAGTATGTGCTTGTTTTTGTTGCTTGATTTTTCTTTTCTCCCAAGCACCTACCTGAAGGTGAGCGAGGATAAGTATAAAATGATTGTTTCATGCATAGAATGAACAATTTGTGGATATTTTTTTACATGCTTATTCATAAAATACACTTTGTTAAACACAAAGCCTCTTTTTTGAATGAATTACACTGCCTGGGAAAACTAAACAAACAAACTAACAAAATTAATAAAAATTCCAACTATTCTTTCACAATTTGAGCCTGATGAACCTTGACATTGTCATTATGAAATATGACCATGATGTGTCTTCCCACATGGTTGTTTAAGAAATGAAAAGCTATACATTTAATCAAATAGGGTTAGAAAAACTGTTGCCAAACATATAACATGCTAGAAACATAATAACCACTGCAAGGGTCCTATCATAAGCATTTGCCTATTTAAATCCAAACAATGATTTTTTTTTTTTTTTTGCTGGGCAGTGTATGTTCCCCAAAGAATGGGAATTTTGTTAATGAAATGTGTAAGTCCTTCATATCGTCACTATCAAGCTGAAATGTCTTGGTTACTAGTGTCGAAATACCAACACTAGGGGTCTCTGTACTCAACACAACAACTATTGAACTGTCACAAGACTAAGGCCATGTCCACACGGACACGGGTATTTTTATAACCGTGACTTTTTTTACGTGGTTCGGGCGTTCGTCCACATGGAAACGCAGTATCAGGACACTGAAACTGAAATTTTTTTAAAACCCCTGCCAGGGTGAGTATTTTCTGAAACGGCGGTTGCAGTGTTGTAAAAACTCCCGTTATAAAAATACCCGTGTCCGTGTGGACATGGCCTTAGCGGTGCAGATGTAGACAAGCCTCCATGTGCCAGGTGCATCTATGCTAACTCACAAATGCCCAGGGTAAATGACCTCATATCTCCCCATATAATTGGGACCCCCTCACCTCCTGGAAGAGGTCACTCCAGCCTTAGAGTCTTCTGTTGTGTGTCAGCACGCACGCCCTGATTTTACCAATTAATTTACATTGGAGAGTTAATTGGCCGTTGCCAGCCATATTTGATCAGCAATGTTTACTTTCTTAGCCTGGATGCCAGCCCAACATTTTTTGGTCGGGAAGTTCGGTCTGGACTTGATCCATTAATGAGTGATTATGATCAGGCAAAAAATGATAGGGCCAATCAGATTGTCAGGGCGGGCTTTATACGATGATGGACAGATGATCTGCTGGGACGTAATCAACGAGCGCTAACTGGTTTCCCTCAGAGATGACTGCAGCTGGAGAATTGAGATGTATAGATTCCGCTGTCGCGTCTGTTTTTAAAATTAATCGACAGCGCATTCATTTTAATAGACAAACAGAAAACTGCAATCAAGGCATTTGACGATCGGAAAGATATTCGGCAAAAGTGAAACTTATCAGCTGGCTCTGACGGTCGCTAAGTTAAGAAGATGGGACGTAATGAAAAGCATGTGGTCGTTGTGGTTTCTCCTTTGGTCGCACTCTTGAAGGACCAAGTGAAAGAAGCAACACTCGTTATTTTACTTCTAAAATAAGTAAGTTCTGTTGTTGACAACTATACTATGCAAAGTATTTGACTTACTGTGTTGCTCTGATTGGTTGTAGGTCTGTCCGACTATCCAATTGAGTGCAGAGGTTTTTTTTTTCCTGGTTCGGTTAAGACATGCCTCATAATCAAAGCCTTAGGGAGCAGTCTCAGACTCATATTCTGACCAGAATAAGTATGACGAAGTCAAACTATTACTTTCTGGCTCAAACTAAAGAAAGTGGAAAGTACTGTTTATATTTTTTATAGTGTGCATATCTACAAAAAAAAAAACTAAATAGTGGCCATATTCAAAAAGGTCATTTTCTGCCTATGTAACAGTTTGTTAACACTCGCACTGGTGCTACAGTAAAGTTTCCTAAAATCTCTTTAAGTAGAATATGCGCACCGCACTGACCATTCAGCTTGGTCTAACAGACTGTGAGATCCAGAGAGAAAAGGTTGAATTAGCTTATTTATTCTGTTACATTATGTTGTCCTCAGACCATCATGTGAATATGTTGACCTCAAGTACGTCTCTGATTTATTCTTTTACATGATGTTCTCCCTTACAAAAATTAACCATGTTTTTTTAGTAACTATGTTTTAACTATAGTTCCCTTTCGTAGTCACTCCGAGTTACGTCGGAATGACAGAAAATGGGGGTTTCGCATAGAAAGCCAAACCTCTATGAGTATTTAAAAACGAGCCAATGGCATGAAAATGCCTTGGGTCTGCGGAATTTGCATAGCGTATCTCCGCCCCATCTCGTGGGTATAAAAGGAGGAAGTGAACGCAACCGCAGTATGTTTTCGCTTCGGAGGCAAGAGACTTCTTCACTCCACAAGCCATTCTCACTGAGTACAACTCTTCGAGACGAGCGTCCTCTTCAGTGTTGGTGTGACGGTGGTACCCAGCGAGATTCTGCATTGCCTGCGATCTGTGCAGTGGTATGCCAGACTTTGCGCTTCTCCCTGGTCGCCTCAGCGCTGAAAGAGTGAATTTCCTCCTCTCTTTTTACAGATGCACGTCTTTTTAAAGATGGTTCGCCCGTGTTCTTCTGGGTGCGGTCGATTCCTGTCGTCCTCTGATGGGCACGATCGCTGCTTTGTGTGTCTGGGCATTCAGCATGCAGCAGCAGCGTTCGTGGATGAGTCATGTTCCTTCTGTGGGAACATGACCATCGCAACACTTAGATCTAGACTCAATGATCTTACAGTGAGAGTCCCCGTCCTCTTCCAGAGGAAGCTCTTCGACTCGCGGAAATAGTGATCTGACGGTGACGGTGTGGAATAAACCCCCGACGCTGGTTCCTCGGGCCACACCCACCACACCAGTGTTGGAGCCAGCGAGCACCGAAACGCTTCAAACGTCTGCCTCTTCGCAGGTACTGTCGGTTTCGTTCGATGCTCAAGAGGATGAAGGTGGGCTAGACTCCTCGGCAAGTGAGGATGCGGCTGCGTTGCCTTCCTCGGGAGCGCCAGCGTTGCCCGTGTCTGATCCCGAGATGATGGCCATGCTATCTTGGGCCGCTATGAGCATCGGGCTGGAGCGGAACCCTCCGCCCTGCACCGATCGCTCACGGATGGATAATTGGTTTTTGGGCAAGGCTGCCGCCTCACGGCCACAGCCGACCCCAATTCCTTTTTTCCCCGAGCTGCATGGGGAACTGACGAAGACTTGGAAGGCTCCTTTGACCTCCCGAGAACGCTCGTCAGTTTCCCCCAGCCTTTCCTCCCCTCGACAGCGCGGCTGCCCGTGGGTACGCTGGGATTCCCCCGGTGGAGCGCTCTGTTGCGATGCAACTGTGTCCGCAGAGCGCATCCTCTCGGGGTACTCCTAAGCACGCTTCCAAAGCCTGTAGATTCTCGTCGTCTATGGCGGCGCGATCCTATAGAGTGGCGGGACAGGCGGCCTCCGCCCTGCATGCAATGAGCACCTTGGATTGGAGCGGCCTCAGGATTGGTTTGCACCGATAGACCTGAAGGATGCGTACTTTCATGTCTCCATCTTGCCTCGACACAGACCGTTTCTTCGGTTTGCTTTAGAGGGACAGGCATATCAGTACATGGTTCTCCCATTCGGGTTAGCTCCCCTTCGCGAACACAGGGTTCGCATCCTGAACTATCTCGACGATTGGCTGATCCTGGCACACTCTCGAGAACAGGTTTGCAAATACAGAGACCTGGTGCTCCGGCACCTAGCCCGTCTGGGCCTTCGGGTCAGCTGGGAGAAGAGCAAACTTTGCCCCGTGCAGAGGATCTCTTTTCTCGGTATGGAGATAGACTCGGTCGCCATGTCCGCGCAGCTTATGAGCGAGCGCGCTCACTCACTGCTGACTTGTCTTCGACAGTTCGAGTGCAAGAGTGCGGCCCCACTGAAACTTTTTCAGAGGCTCCTGGGGCATATGGCATCCGCAGCCGTGGCGACGCCGCTCGGACTGCTTCATATGAGACCGCTTCAGCTGTGGCTTCGCGATCGAGTCCTGAGGTGGGCATGGCATCACGGCTCGCTCAGAGTCCCAGTGACTCTGACCTGCCACCACACCTTCTTCCCGTGGTCGAACCTCAACTTTTTACGGGCCGGGGTCCCTCTTCTGCGAGTTTCCAGGCATGTCGTTGTCTCCACGGATGCCTCTACCACGGGTTGGGGAGCCATGTGCAATGGGCATGCAGCCGCGGGTTCCTGGACGCTGGGGGCGCTTCATGCATATCAATTGCCTCGAGCTGCTGGCAGTACGCCTGGCCCACCAGGGTGGTCTACGCTCACGTCGGATGTCGCAGCTCGCACGTCACCTCCTATTATGGAGTCAGAAGCACCTGAGGTCCCTTCGTGCCGTTTACATTCC